CTGCTCACTGAGCAGTTTCAAGAAAACGGCAAATTGCAAACCAAGGTTTCAGACTGGAGGAGTGGCTTATGTGGTAGAGCACCTGCTCTGCGAGTGTGAAGCCCCAGGCCCAACAGAAAGAGAAAGAAAACCAAAGTTTCACATTAAACTAAAGCCCATGGCTTCTGGCCTCCGCAAGTGGCCGCTCGCATTGTAGAGCAGATGCCTGGCTATAGACAAGATGCAGGTTTTCAAATGTCTTACCTACCTTACCACAGCCAATGATGGCACTGTCTTCCTCTCAACTAAAACATTTCTAGGATCCTAGTTAACTAAGTTGAGGTAGTTCATGAGAAATCTGCCTGAAAAGATTTTTTTTTAAAGATGGAGTCTTACTATGTAACCAAGGCTGGTCTCGGATTTGTACTAGGTAGCTTACTTTCCCCTCCTCTAGTGCTGGGGGTTGAACTCAGGCCCTTGAGCTTGACACAGGCCCCCACTGGAGCCATACTCCTCATTCTATGACCTGAAATTTGTGATCCTCCAGCATAGCCTCCGAAGTACTAGGATTACTAGTGTGCACTACCATTCCCATTCTTTATAAAGAGATTAAAATTCAGAGACATACAGAATGTGTTCAACACAAAATACTATGTATGTTTTCTTTGCAAATATTTTTTAAGATACTGAAATGAGTACAGTAAAACTAATGAGTTGCACTGCTGTTTTATACTTGGTATAAAAAACTACAGTTGGAGGTTTGACTTAAGCAGCGCAGCCCTGCCTAACAAAGCGAAGCCCTGAGTTCAAACCCCAGAAACACAGAAACACCGAAAACGCCTAAAGCCAAAGCCAGGTGTAATAGTGCACACCTGATCACCAGTTCAAGGCTGAGCGCTCTCATTTCTCCAGCGTTAGCTAAGTGATGTGCTCAGCTCACCTGAAAGTCTTCTCCCCAGGCATCTCTGCTGCTCTGGGCTACATGCTGGTGGCTTTTCCATGTTCCCTTCTTGAAGAATGGACCCCAAAGAATGGTTAGCGAGAAGCACCTCAGCCCATGCCCACCCTACAGCAGGTGGGGGCACCCACACCCAGCTATCCACCCTGACCGGCCAAATCAATGGAATGTGGGGGATGACACCTGATGGGGTGGGGCAACCAGGCCCATGTCACGAACACCTTGTGGGAGTGAATGTCAGGTGACCAGCATGTTATCTTCCTGCAGGCCACATTACCCCAGAGAGCTGGGGAGCCGGGTGGCACAGGAAGCAGGGCCACCAGGTCCATGCCAACCTTTCCAATGTACTGTGGACCAAGCCCAAGGGACAGGTGTGTGGTCTCTACCCCCAGTCTTCTCCAGGGATGAGTGGGGTGGGGTCACCCTGAACTGACAACAAGGAAGTACCAGGCAGACCCCAGCAGGGCCACTTTGCACAGCTAGAATTCCAGCTCTCCAGAGGCAGAGGCAGGAGGACTGCGAGTGCCAGCCCAGCCTAGGCTACAGAGAAGACCCTGTCTCAAAAAACTGAAAAACAAAAGAATACAATGTGATGAAAGACCAAAGGTGACCAAGAAGCTTCCAGATCAGGAGCCTGTGGAGCAGGAATTGCTGCCCAACATCTAACAACTTCTCAGGAAAGAAAGCTTTGATTTAGTTTGCCAACTGCCATGGGGTAAAAACTGCCACTCTGGTGAGCTCCAGCTGTCCACATGACCTCAAGGGGCACAGCTGGGGAGGGGGGCAGGCACAGAACCATCCTCCCTACTGCCACCACACCCATACTATGATAACCGGGAAGAGGGAGCATGGGGCATGTCACCTGTTTTTAACAATAGCTGTTTGACAGTTTGCACAATTGCTGAGAACAGCACTGCTGAAGGAACAGGACAAGTGAATACCATGCAGAGCGCTGGGGCACAGCTTGGTGACAGAGGGCACCCGTTATGTGTGATCCAGTACCACAGTTAAAAATAAAATGCCATGTAAGGTCCTGGGTGGGGTTTGGATTTGGGGACACACTGTAAGGACATTATGGGCAGACTCGCACCACTGAACACTGAACTTTCTGACTGTGGGGGAGGTGACTGGCCTGGCTACTGGGCGGTGCACACTGAAGGGTTTATGGCTTGGTTCGTTTTTTGGAGCTGCTGAACTGCAACAAAGAGCCACAAACTGGGCAGCGTAAGACACCAGAAATCTGTTCTCTGGAGGCCAGAACTCCCTTGCTGACACCATGTCCAGGTCAAAGAGTCACAGTCTTTCCCAGATGGCTAAAAAGCTTAGGGGATGGGTTAGGGCATGCAGTTTGGTGGACAATGGAGTTGTACAGGAATCCGGAAGAAGCAGCAAGGACCCTTAAAATATGCAAGTCACCTAAGATGGCGACCTGAGGAATTTTTAAGTAATCTAAGAGGGTAACAAATACTTTGATAGAAAAGATCACTTTTCTTACAAACACACACATACAAAAACAAAATGTAGCAAAAACACATCCCAAAAAAGACCCATTAAATTCATGTTTCTGAAAAGATGGAAACATGTCAAGATGTCTGTTCTCCCCAAGTTGATTTATAAATTCAATGAAATCTCAACCACAACAACCCCTCTGCCAATCCCCAAGTAAGAACACATGGATACAGTTAGGAAAATGAACAGTCAAGCCCCAGGCAAAGAGAAGATACAGGGAGAACAATGCACCAGTGTGGAGAAGACTGGTGCCCATTGTGCTCTGACAAAACAACAGATTAAACCTGGGCTCACATCTGCTGGGTAGGTGCCTTACCACTGAGCTACATCCCTAGCCCTATCAACTTCAGTAAGGGCAAAAATTTTGAGCCAATACTTCACAAGAACAGTAGACAAATGGCTAAAAAGCGTAAGATGGTCCACACTACTGGGTACTGAGGGAACACAGATCAAAACGTGACAGTACTCCAGCCTGCAAAGTCTGAAGCGCACACACTGACAGGTGGGTGTGGTGGTGCACACCCCAATTACTCAGGAGGCTTGCCTGGCAAAAGCGTGAGACCCTATCTGAAAAACTAAAGAAAAAAGGGCTGGGGGTGTGTTGCAACTATTTGCTAGTTTCCCAGCAAACTTGAGTCCCTCAACTCAATCCCCAGTATCTGTGCCAAAAGAGACTGGTGAGCGTGTGCAGCACCTGGAGTGCTTGCACAGTAAGACAGCACGACTCCACTGGGAAGAAGCTGCAGTTCTTACGAAGTCAAACGCGTTCTACCGCTCGCCTCAGGAGTTTCGCTCCCTAGATGACATGCCTGAGAAATGCAAGCTTGTCTTTGTACGACGCTCCTCCGTGCAGTTTTATTCTCAATCTGAAAACTGCCGTGGTCCTGCTCATCATCAGATCTGACAGAGGGCAAGAGAATGGTAACGTAAATATTCAAAACCATCATTCTGAGTGAAAGCAGCCAGAAATGAGAGTGCACACAACACGGCCCCAGGAGTGACCTGTAGCACTGGAGTCCAGCAGCCAGCCAGTGGGAAAGGAAGCCTCCTGAGTGACCCTGTCCTCTTCCTCCTGGCACAGGTCACTGGATGCATCCATTTGAAGAAAATCACCCACGTATACACTCAGGTTTATTTTCTGGTGGTACTGGGGTTTGCAGGCACCCTACCACTTGTGAGTCACACCTTGCTATGTAGCTCAGGATGTCCTGGAACTCATGACTCTCCTGCCTCCACCTCCTGAGTGTTGAGATTACAGGTGTGCACCACTACGCCCAGCCACTATGGCTCTTGTTGCATGGAAATTAGATCTCTACTGCTGATAAAGACAACCAGGATGGTGGTTCTGCTGTTAACCTGGCAGTTACAAGGAGGCCTTCCCCTTTGAATAATTCAATAAACTTTAGATCTGCAGGCCTTCTTAAATTGCTCTTTAATTAAAATGGTGTAAAAGCTGGGCGCTGGTGGCTCATGCCTGTAATCTGGCACTCAGGACAAGGAAATGACAACACCCTGATGAGGCTCTCACTGTTACATTTTAGTTTCAAGTGAATTTTTTTTTTTTTTTTTCTGTGTCTTGAGACTTGAATTGGTGGGACCAGTCCCCACCTCTATCCTCTAGCCCATGAGTTGCCAGGTTACCTGCCTTTCTACCTGTTCTCACAACCAAGGTCTTTTTCTTGGTGTTCAAGGTCTAAGACTCAACATTGACTCCCAGCACTGGAGAAAGAGCAGGGGTACCTGAAGAGTGGGCTTCCAAGGCAAAGGGTGCAGTGCAATGAGTCCTCACTCTCAGGCAGTCTAAGAGCAGAGAGCTTGGTCTATTTTGCCTCCTGACATGGGACATTAGCATCGCCAGAACTGTGGGGGCGCTCCTGGCTTCCCTGGCTTCTGGGTTGGGGGAGGGCAGGGAGCTGCTACATGTCTCGTAATGTACAGGATGTCCTGGCCATGGTCACAAGCATTTACAGTGGACTTATTTAATAATAACCCTCATGGTAACCATCTGTCTATACTTCTGCCTTCTAGCTTTCCAACCCTCTCTCTCGTCTGTCTATCTGTCATCTTTCTCTTTCTTTTCATCTCTCCCTTCCTTTTATTGCAGTGCTGGGGCTGGAACTCAAGGGCCTTATACATGCTAGGCATGCATTGTACCACTCACTGAGCTGCATCTCAGCCCACAATCACTTTTATTTTCCTCTGTGACTGGAGTTTGAACTCAGGGCTTTGTGTTTCCAAACCAGGAGCTCTACTGCTTGAGCCACATCTCCAGTCCATTTTGCTCTATTATTTTGGAGATGGAGTCTTGCAAACTATTGTGCCCAGGCTGCCCTGGATCCTTGATCCTCTTGATCTTAGCCTCCCAAAAAGCTAGGATTACAGGCATGAGCCACTGACACTGGGCCATAATCGCCATCTTATAGATGAGAAAACAGACTTAAGAATGCCAGAAAATAAACAAAACCTTAGGATGACAATCCTTGACATTTTCTCTAGATGAATTAAATGTTACATATCCAAAGACAATCATTTTTGCATCTGATAATGTCCTGGTGGATCCCTCTTCTGGGGGTTGGGTGGGGTCTGTGTTCCTCGACCTCCTTCCCACAGTGCCAATGCTGTGAATCCCAGTTCTGTTCACTCCTGGTTTCTGGCTCAGAGAGGTTCTAGCCAGATTAAGGAGGGCTGGGAGACCCAAGTTGACAATTCCCTTGGTAAGTGGCCTGCATACAAGCAGCTTCCTCAAGTCTGGATGGGTTACCACAATACCAAGGTTGCAAACAAATTCTCCATGGTCAGGAGCCTCAAGCTTCCTATTTCCTGAGTGAAGACAGAAGAAAGAGGTGGACATGTGCGAGGCACTGTGCGTGGCATCTCCACCTGCTCAGGAGACCAGGGGAGGAAAGAAACTAGAAACGGTGGTAGCTTCCCTGTGTTCTACCTGACAAGCCTCCTGAAAATGTTGAAGTGACTTGAAGAAGAACCAAGAGAGGCTACTGCAACAAGAACTTTACTGGTGACACCTTTTTAATAGGTCAAAGTAACTGTACAATTCATTATATTCTTCCTGAGAATAATTTATATCCCCCAACAAACTAAAGGGAGGGTAGAGTTTTCAAAATTATCTAACAGAATGGGTGGTGGAATAACCAGACATCTAAAGAGACCCAAATCCCTCTGTTCTGCTGAATTTGCTCCTGGGAAGACAGTGACACAATGAAGGGTTAGTTAGCTCCAGTGGCTGTAAAATAGTCAACATGGCTTTAATCTTTCTTTATAAATTATATAAAAATGGAAAACAGGGATGGTTCTGGAACATCTTAATGCAGTTTGGAGGTGCTCTGGTACAAAGCATTTCTGCTTCCAAGAGAAATTACATTGCTACAAAAAACTGGCACATAATTCTGGTGAAAAAAGACAAGAAAGAGTTTTAGTTATGTTCTATAGCTAGTTCCCAACCCAAGGCTTCAATGTCCACATGAAAGGAAAAGGTGGGAGAGACAGAAAGGGTGGTAGCTTTTCTTCTCAAATGACTGGAGTCTTCAAAATATAGCTTTTGTATCTCTCTTTGTAAATGGATTAGCACACTGCAGCTGGGCCTGCGCAGTAGCCCTGGCAGGAAGGAGTCCAGCCTCCTGGTTTCTGAATTTTCCTGCACGTGCTTTTCTTTCAATATGCAGCGAAGGTGGGTCAGGGATGACCACGGTCCCAGGCCATTTCCACGCGACACATCTTACCGCCAACACCAATTGTCCTTCATGATTCTTCAAAGCTTCTTAGTGTATAATTCTCATTCTCAGAAAAATGCCACATTTTGGATCCCAGACGTTTCTGGATATCATGATTTAAAAACAATAACCAAAACTGACCCAAATCAAAACGTGGTAAAGCTTAGAGATTTCAACCAGCTGTCATTCAGTTGGAGCTGTTGAGTGCTGGCGACCGAGGACCCGGGTGAATTCCTCGCTGCTGGTGGAAGGCTAGAGAACATGTCCAAGGGGTGGCGGCAGCTCAGTGAGGCCTCGTCTGCCCCAGCATTTTCAATCTGGCTTGGTCAATAACATCAAGCAGGTTCTTGGCATCCACAGCCAGGGCATGGGCAGCGGTCAGCATCTGCTTTTTATACTCCTGCTGCAGGCTGGTCATGACATACTGCTGCGCCAGCTTCATCTTGCCGATGAGCTCACCCAGGTCAGAGTTGAGAAGCTTCTGTGCCATTTCAATCTGTAAGGACAAGACAGGGTCAGCAGACTGCTTCTAGGGATTTTTCATAAGCCTTTCTTTGGCAGCTCCATGGGAAGAAAATTTTGTCTCTCAAATAAATCTCCCCTACAAGTAACAGGATGTGAAATCAATCTTTCCTCTAGAAACAGAGCCGCTGTAGTGACCCTGCGCATATGCAGGCTATGACTGTGCATACCTTATGTGCTCCTTTCATTCATACCCTCACTGTCACCACAGCTCACTTTCTCTCCATTCTGCATTTGCTGTTTATAACTTAGCATCTGGCAGGGAACCTCCTAGTTTTATAGTAGAATCACAGAACCTAACAGAACCTCTGAGATCACTTAGTCCAAATGCTCACTTCAGTGTAGATAACTGAGACACAAAGTGACCTGGTGAAGGTCACATAGCTAGCTCATCTCTGACCCAGAACAAACACCAGGATCTGGCACTGGCTTTATGTCAACTCTCTCTAAGGACCTTTCCCAGCCACAGGAGAGATGGTATGTCGATGTCAGGAGTCTCCTAGTGCCACTCCATTGTGATCAGCCATGGAACCTAAATGCTGTCCTGCAGGTCAGAGTGCTTTGCCTGCTGGAGGCTCACAACACTTTTTGTTTCAACCAACTTAGCCATTTGTTTTTTTAGTGATTATTTTTTTCTTTTGATGGTATATGGGATTTGAACTCAGGGCCTCACACTTGCTAGGCAGGTGCTCTATCACTTGAATCACTCTGCCAGCCTCTTTTAGTGATTCTTGAATATTTACCATGCATGAAGCACTCTGACCTGCAGACCCAAGAAGGAGCTAGGCATGTTTGTACGCCTCAGAGTCCAGGGTGGGAAGAAGCATACAGAGCCACCTGTAGCCCACAGGAATAAACCCCAACAGAAATGCACAGAGAGAGGGCAAGCCATTCTGTCTCAGAAAGACTCCACAGAGGAGAGTGTGAATTTCCCCTACACTGCACAAACTTCAACTGTGAGGGGCTATACAAGATGACCTCTGCCTCGCTGAACATGGCAGTGAGTGGCATAAGAGATTTCAAGGATGGGGAATGACATAATCTAGAGAGCTGTTCTAGAAGGCTTTTGTGGTAGGATGGAGGCGGAATGGAAAGAATGGGTGGGAGACAAGACATCACAGATGCTCAGGGGAGTGATGGTGCTGTGAAGGTGAGCGGAATACTGGGATACTGTCTATCTTGCGAGTATGTAGAGGGCACTGATGGGGCATGGGCATAGCAGTGCCATTGCTGAGGGAAGCAAATGAGGAAGAGCAGATTGCTTCTGCCATCACCCAGCAGACAGCTTGCAATCAGCTTGATCTATGAAAGCGGGGAGACTAGTCAAGGCATACAGTATTCTTTAAAAAGCAGGTGGCATCAACCTGGGAGATGACCACACTCATGGCAGCAGAAAAGAGCCGGCAGCGGGTGTATGTGTGTGGGGGGCGGGGGGGGACCTGGGCTGGAGGAGGGAGTGAGGAAGGCTCTGACCCTGGGAGTTGGGGTGGGGGGAGTTGGTAAGCAGGCGGGAGAGGGGCAGGAGAAAGGTGAAGTAGGACCAGAGAGAGGGTCCTCTTCCATAAAACTTGAATAATTAAGAAAAGAGCTTCTGTGAGGAAAGCCAGGGAGATGTAGAGATGACTTCTGGCTTCGTCTACTGGAGTAGGTAGGACAAATGGTCAGCACCTTGTGAGGACACCATTGTTTTGCCTATGGTACTTTTTGACAAGATGGTTGCTTGTCATGGAAAAGCAATCAGAGCCCCAGTGCACAAGGCAAAGAGGGTGAGCCCACACAGTGCTGTGGTCAGAGAGACACCGTGGACTGATCAGAGGCACTCTGCTTCTTCCCATTTACAGACGAACCACCAACTGCAGAAGGGTTCACCTGCCCCTCAGGGTCCTGCTGGCTCCTCATGATAAACTGGCCATGGACGGCATGTGTCTCCAACACGGGCCTAAGAAGGACTCAACGTTCCTTTTGCAGTGCTGAGCCAGATACAAAAGGCCTATGTCTAATTAGGGGAAGTATCTATGTTTATGAAACATCCCACAGCCCAACTTCAAGAACAGTCTTCAAAGTAAATGAGCCCTGTGTCAACGTGTGGAAGACAAAGAAGGGAGGCTGCAGAGATGAATGTGTAATGTCACATGTGACATACAATCATGAGGCTGATCCTGCACTAGACAGAAAGCCATGGAACAGGTGATGGGCTGGGAGTATGCCCTACAGAGAGGAAGGGCTGCTCCTGCAACGTGAAGCCCAAAGTATGCAGCTGCAGGGAAGTTACACAGGAGGGCAGCCATGTTACCAGGAAATATCCAATGATGTGCTCAAGGATAAAGGGGACATATGTGCAAACTATTCTCAAATGCTCACAAACAGTGCATCACGTGTGCAGACACACAGATGGATGGCAGGGAAGCAGAAGGCAAATGTGGTGAAGTGTTAAGAGGTGGGTAAAGGTCTGTATTAATCTTCTAATTTCTCTACAAGCTTGAAATCCTTTCAAAGCACAGAGTAAAAATCAAAACCCTGTGCTGACTAGCTCGAAGGACAGTGCACACTACTCTAGAGAGAATAGGGAAGGGACAGCTGGAGGTGGAGGGAGAGGCATGAGGAGAGCAAGGCTGCAGCTGTAACTCTGGGGGAACGTACCTTCTGTCCTCAGATCCCCAGCACAGTGCACGCTGCTGAGCTGGGGTTGCTGAGGGCACAGCGACAACATGCAGACACGCCCTGTCATTTGTGAGTTATATGTATGAGGCAGAACTGCCAAACAGTGGTGAAAAATGAAGACTGTTGCTGGCACACAGTAATTCTGGGTGAATTTAAGTTGTTGAAAAATTTCTGGAGACGTTTATTAACTTTAAAGATTTTTATATCATTTGCAAACACTGATCTTTATGAAGGAGCAGGCAGGCAGGGGACTGGGATGCTTTCTTGTTTTCTTTGGCCTTCTGTCCAGAGGGTGCTCCCAGCCACCTTGCGTCCCATGTGAGGACCTTGCACAGTGGCTCTAAAACTGGAGTGGGTGCTGCTCTCTACACTGAATGGCCAAGTCCTGCTGGGGTCAGTGTCAGGGAGAAGCCATCCCCTGCAGGGCAGTCAAAACCAGCCTCTGCTGTGGTTTGGATATGAAGTGTTCCCTCAAAAGGCTCTCCAGCTGGTGGTGCTGAAGTGACTGGATCATTATGAAGAAACTAACTTCATCAATGGATTAATCCAATGATGGTTCAGAGGAGGTGGGCTCTAGCGGTAGGAAGCAGGTCAGTGAGGGTCATGCCTTTGAACCTTTAAAAGGAGTATCCTGTCGCCAGGCCCTTCTATCTTTCCTCCTGACCTAAAAACATCAGAGCTAAGTGACCACAGACTAAAATCTCTAAAATCACAAGTCAAAATAAAACCTTACCCCTCAAGTTATTTATCTCATACAAAAAACTGACTAACGCAGCATCACAGATGCCCCCGAGCATGTCCAGTGTGACCCCATCCAGCACTGTGCCCTACCTCTCGGTGGGTGCTGGCTGGGAGGACAGGAATGGTCTCATCCACAGTGGCCAATAATGTCCGCAGGGCCAAGCCGACTTCCTAACAGACAAGAACCACAGCCAGTATTAGAACACAACAAAGAAGTTTCATACCAACAACATTGATCATTTTTTTTCAGGTCTGTTTTTTTTTGTTTTCATTCTTCCAGTTTTAAGGAAAATTTGTGTATTTGCTTTTCTTAGTGATGACTGAATCTTCCCTGACTATCCTTTGTCCTTACTGTCTTGCACATGTCAGGCAAAGACATCAAGCTTCTCCTCTGCTTCTCATCTGAGTTTCTAAGTAGATTACAGTACCTTAGAACAAGCAGGCCCTGCCAACTCAGGTTAGAACAAATGCTACTCCTCTCCACTTCTGTATGTACACAATCTGCCTAAGGCCGGCCAAAGAGATGTTCCTGCTGCCCATAGGCAAGGTAGGCCTCACTCTGGAGCCCATTCTGAACCTTATACTTTATCCAAAACATGTGAGGGATAAAGAAAATGGCCTAACCACAATTAATTCTTACATTTAATCATCATAAATTTTAAATTAAGTCATGACCTTAAATTTTGAATTTTTATTGTCATTCTTATGAAGATCAAAAATGTAATGAATTAAGACACTAAATTACTTATGCACTATGAATAAATCCAGGAAGATATTTGTCCTTGAATCGGCATGCAAAGGAGGTGTCATCAGCACCATTAGTAGTCAGGTCTGGCTCAAAGATAGGGAGACAGACCTCTGTGAAGTGCATTGTTGTGTGATTTTCATACTGTACGAACACCAGAGAACATGCTTGCAAAATTAATGCAGCTCTAATGTCCCTAGGTGATGTGATTGGACAGGGCCACCCTCTTATAAGCAGTCTATCACTGACTGAAACACTGCTATGCTGTGCGTGACTATAATATGGTTAAAAATAGCTACTATAAAGCAAACTTGTAAAATCTTAACACGCATAAGATCTGAGTGCTTTTGTTTAATACTGATTGTTTGCTTTTCCAAACTTGGCTCATGCATGTTCACCCATAAGAACTTTGGTGACAACTGTCATAAGAGCACGGTTTAGTCTTTGTTTACTCATTTTGCAGTACTGGGGAATGAACCCAGAGCAAGTGCTCTAGACGTGATCCATGCAGCTGTGTCAAAGATTGCTAAAAGGTACATTAAAAGTGTGTTCAATCCTACAACTCAACAATTAAAAAAAACCAAGTGAAAATATGGGCAAAAGACTTGAATAATTTTTTCTCCGAAGACAGACAAAAAGATGCAGGTCAATGCAATGGGGTATAACCTCACACACGAGAACTATCACCATGAAAAGCAAACAAGCCACACACACAGAATCACACGAGATGGTGAAAGTGGACTTCTTGTGCATGCTGGCGCAGCTGCCGTGGAAACAGTACGGCAGTTCCTCAGAGAACTCAGCAGAAGTACCATATACAGCAGCAATTCCACCCTCAGAGCTCAAAGAAGGGCCCTGAAGAGGCCTATGAACAGCAGAAGGTGGACGAAGCCAAGTGCTTGCAGCTGGGTGAGGGGTGAATGAAAGGGGCAGGATGCGCTCAGCCCTGAAGATGAACAGCATTAAAGACTCCGTCACAAGCCACAGCACGGATGGCCCTTGAGGACATTATCCCCAGTTAAACGAGCCAGTTCCAAAAGGACAGATGCCGTATGATTCTACTTATATGACGCACCATGAGTCAAATGGAAACAGACAAGTAGAGCAGTGACTGTCAGGGCTGAGGGAGGAACAGTGAAGAGTTAGTGTTCAACCGATGAAGTTTCAGCTTTGCAAAGAAAAAGTTCAGTTGGGGGGAATGGCTCACAATAACAAGGAAAGCACTCAATGCCACTGAGCTGCATACCCAAATGTTGTTAAGATGGTAAAGCTTAGGCTGGTGGAATGGCTCCAGTGGTACAGCGCCTGCCTGGCAAGTGCAAGGTCCTGAGTTCAAGTCCCAGTACCACCAGAAAAAAACCAATCAACCAACCAACCAAAACAAAAAGCATGATAAAGTCCCTGTCATTTCCTATTGTGGAAAAGGGAAGTGAGTTCCAGCACGTCAGCACTGCTGGCTGGGGAGCAGAGTCAGAGACCACTCTTGGAATGCAGGGCACCTCTTACAGTGGTGTGCTGGTGTGGGGCTCCCTAAGGGCAATGCAGACCCTGCCTTGAACCACACCTTGTTCAGAGAGCATCTGCAGCCATGTTCCAGGACACTACACCATTGAACACAACCTGAAAATATTAAGTGAGCTGGCATGGTATTTTTATTCATGTGTCTTTGTCCATTCTTTATTTTTGTATTATTTAGCTACTTCTTTTTGGTGGATCTGGGGTTTGAACTTGGGGCTTTGCACTTACAAAGCAGGTGCTCCACCACTTGACCACGCCTCCAGTCCTCCCGCTTTTTGAGGAGCTTTCATTCTGTTTCCTAGGCTGGTCTAGAACTCTTGGACTCACACGATCCTCCTTTCTTTAGCCTTCTGAGTAGCCGGGACTGCAGGCATGCTCTACTAGGCCTGGCTTATCCTCCTTTTTTTAAAATTCAACCAACACTCACCTACCCATTCTTTAGCTTTGGAAAAACAATACAGGAATACAGGCAATCTTTCTGCCCCCATGACTCCTCCTCAGATGGACAGTCTAATATGTCTCCCAAAGTCTCATAGAGGATTGATTGGCTTGCATTTTTTCAACTTTTTTTTTTTTTTTTTTTGGCAGTACAGGGGATTAAACTCAGGGCCTCCAGAGCTCTACCACTTAAGGCACATCATAGCCCTTTTTGCTCTAGTTTGTATCTTATAGGGTCTTATGCGTTTGCCTAGGCTGGCCACGATCCTCCTATGGCCTCTACCTTCTAAGTAGCTAGGGTTATAGGCATGCTCCACCACATCTGAATCCCACCTTTTTTCTACTTTATATAAATGCTCTATACTAGCCATAGTCTTCTGCATCTTGCTTTCTTTACTCAAGACTATTTGTGAGTAATGATTATTACAAGACTCTATTGCTTCAGGATACTCTCATCCTAGTGTTCACTGATGGGAGGAAACAAGAGAGGCATAGCAGTTCATAGTAATCACCTGGTGCCTTCACACCCAGAGCTGGTATCAGGCTGACTTTGCTGGTACCTTGAGATGTCCGATGGCTGTACCCACTCCCCTGGTACACGAGACCATCCTTGCCAGTACCTTGTGTAACTGCACTTTACCTTCACCATGGGGACATACTCCTCCGGTGGGGCTGGCTGGATTTTGCTGGACATCTCAATGACAGCTTTCACCAAACCTGTCACATTCTCGTACACCTTGTCATTGGACCGGTCCAGGTTGGCAGTGGGAGGGGGGCTGATTTCCTGGGGCTGAAGCTGACAGACAATACAGAAGCTGGTCATTTTTCAAAGCAGATCACAGAATATAATGAATTTTTGTATTTGTACAGGATATAGCTCTGTTTAAGGACGTCTCTAAGTTAATTCATCCAAATGACAGATAAATGAGGCAGTGACTTCTCTGAGCTCAGTTAAAGGAAATGAGATAGAATACTTAGTACAGTAAAGATGACTCAAAGAAGTGATTCAGTGACCCCAGACTCCAAAATCATTTACCACAGGAGAAACAACCTATTTAATTGACATCGCTAAATGTTTACCAAGTTTTAGAGAAAGCTACTTACTTGCTGCATAAGTGTACATTCTACATAAACACTACACATTTCTACTAGTTTAAGTTCTGCAGTAAAAATTACATGGCCTAGCTCAGCTGCCCTCAAACTACCTGATAGAAATGTATTTTCATAATGACAAAAGTAGAGACACATGGGTCTGCTTTAAGTGGACATCTTCTTGCAGAAAGCTACAAGTCCAAGTAGTGGGGTGGGGTACAGGCCAGCTCTGTGCTGATTGCTGGGTGGGTGTACGGGCCTGCAGGCCTTGGCTGGGTAGCAGCAATGAAGGACAGATGAAACCCCAGATGTAAACATGCCCACTTAAGGCTTGGGTACAAATATTACCTATGATAACCTGAGCACTGAGACTGGAGTGACATGGACCTCCAGAAGATATTCAGTAGTGTTTAAGGATTCAAGTTGGGGCTGGTGGAGTAGCTCACGTGTTAGGGTACCTGCCTAGAAAGTAACGAGGCCCTGAGTTCAAGCCCAGTGTCATGCAAAACAACAAATGAAACCCCCAAACAAAAGACCCAAGGTGGTTAGAATTACACTAGGTACAAAAAGGACTGTGTGTGTGTGTGTGTGTGTGTGTGTGTGTGTGCGTGTGCGTGTGCGTGTGCGCGTGCGCGTGCGCGCGCGCGCGCGCGCGCGCTAGGACTAAACTGCGGCATAACAGCTGCATAATCACGGACTTGGTACTGGAGCTTAGGCTAAACCTGCAGGGGTCTGCTTTTGAACTCAGGTGCTATGGTTCAGGCAGACTGGAACAGATAAACTGTTCGCATTAGAAAAGGTCAAAAGTAACCCCTTCACTGCAGAGATGCTCATGACTTAGTCTCTGGATAAGGCAAATGCTGTTTTTGGCATCTGTCAATCACAAGAGGCAAGAAACCAAGCAACAGTAGTCTCCACCCAAATTCCCATTTGCTAGCCCAGAGCTGCATGCAAAGAGCTGGATGTGACATGGAGAGCTAGACAGACACACAGACACGATGTGCTTACCCGCCATGGCTATTGTCGAATGGAAGGTGAGGAAAGGTTAAAGGAATTTATCAGAGAAAGGGAAAAAAGAAAAACAATATTAATAAGGCAGCAGATAACCCCCATCCAATACATGAGCAGAACAGAACACCCAGCCTGAGCTGCAAGCCTGCCCTGCACTTTCGGCCTACTGGCGGTTGAGGCCTGTGAGTGGCTGTGTCTGCAGTCTTCTCCGCGTTACTGGAACCCTGCCATGCAGCTCGCCTCATTCCCATGAGATCAATGAGCAGGACAGCATGCAAAGCCTGGGAGGGCAGCCGGCAGCCGTGCAAGAGTCAAGAGAGTAAGAGCTCCTTGTGACAGAGGAGGACATGCTTGTCACAGGAATGTGCCGGGGACTTCCACAGGACGTGGGAGAAGACTGCACATGCTTAGTGCCCATGCCCTGCTCCTCAGGTCCTTGGGATCTTCACTGCCTTCAGTCACACCACCCTAGAAGGACTCTGGGATGGTGGCATATCTAAAGAGCTTGGGAGCTTATTTTTTTAAGAACAAAACAAAGTTTAACAAACATCCTTCTTTTAATTTTTACTTTTGCTTTGCAGTACTGGAGATTGAACTCAGGACCTCACGGAAGCAAGTGCTCTACCACTTCAGTCACTCCCCCAGTCCTTTTGCTTTTTTAGTTTAGTTTTCAAATAAAGTCTTGCCCCAGGCTGGGCTCAAGCTGTGGTCCTCCTGCCTCCACCTTCCAAGCAGCAGGCACTACAGAAGTGTGCTATAACACTTGGCTTTCGAGATAGGGTCTCACTAAAACAAAGCTGATCCTAACCTGGTTCCATACTTACCAGACTTAAGACACCTTCCATTATGACATGCACCTCTTTTTCTATGTAGTCCAGGCTGGACCTGAACTTCTGCCTCAGTTTCCCAAGTGCTGGGTTTACAGCTATGTAACACCACTCCCCACTGCTACACTTTTTTCCCCCCTGTGTGTGTGTTAGTGGGGTTTGAACTCAGGGCCTGTGCTTGCCAGGCAAGTACTCTGTCACTTGAGCCATACCTCCAGTTCTTTTTGCTTTAGACAGTTTTTGAATAGGGTCTTGCATTTCTGTCCAGTCTGGCCTGGACCCTGATCCTATTTACGCTTTCCACTTAGCTTGGGTGTCAGGTACAAGCCACCATACTCTGCTTCTTTATTGGTTGAGATGAGGGTTTCATGAACATTTTTTTGTGGGGTGGCCTTAAACCATGATCCTCCTGATCTCTGCCTCCAATGAGCTGCTATGTCCAGCTTACTTTTTTTTACTTAAATAGAAAAGCAACTCATACTTATTGTTTGCTTATAGAGTAAGATACTTGAGCCACTCCTCTAACCCTTAATTTTTTTTTAATAAACTAAGGAAGAAAAAAAATGCCATTTCTATATGAGAGAGATTACAGTGTGAAAACACTGTGTATCAGACTGAGAAATGGAGGTAGTTAGAGAGATAGTTTATTACCTCATGTGGAAAGTTAAGAGATCCCATCTCTTTAAGTGGGCAGATTGGAAGAGAGAGCCCCTCTTTCCTGCCCTCAGAGGAGAGTTTCTGAGCCCTTTACAGGGACTGAGGGGACCTGGAAGAACTGGACACTGGTGCCTGATTGCATACCCCTGGGGAGGCAGAGACTGAAGAGCCCCCAGCCAAGGGGAAGCATGCAGCATGCCTGGTCATACTCTGTTGCTGGTCCAACGAAGTCTTTGCTAGTCCTTCTACAAACAGAATTCTGACTGACCTGAGAGGGAGGCCATATTTATACACTTGGGGACAGTGATCACACATGTCCTCACTTACCCTGGGCATACTGGCTTAAATTTCTTTTTTGGCTGTCCTGGGGGCTCAACTTAGGGGTCTGTAATTGGTAGGCAGGCTCTCTACCATTTAAGCTAAGCCTCTAGACTTTTCAGCTTTGGTATTTTGGGGACAGGATCTCCATTTATGCCTGGGCTGAGTCTCCTATTTATACTTCCTGTGTAGCTGGGATGACAGGCATACCCCAATACGTCCAGCTATTTGTGAAGATGGGGGTCTCAGTAACATTTTTGCCTGGGCTATCCTTGAACTGCAATACTCCCAAGTAGATGGAATTATAAGTGTAAGCCATGATGCCTAGCATGGCTTAATTAGCTTTTAAAACCAGAAATAGCATTTATTCCAAAGACACATCTGCATGATGAGAGGATGTTGCCAGAAAGTCTGGATGTGACTAAGTTCCTAAAATCTACTATGCTCAAAGAAAACCAGAAAAGTCACTGGTCATGATGTAATCCTAGCTATTTGGGAGGATTGTAGTTTGAGGCCAGCTGGGGCAAAAATTAGCAAGACCCTATCTCAACCAGTAAGCTATGGATGGTGGCATGTGCCTGTGATCCCAGCTATGTGGGAGTCATAAGTAGGAGGATAACACTCCAAGGCCAGCTTGGGCAAAAACAGGAGACCTATATGAAAAATAACTAAAGCACAAAAGGGTGGAAGTGTGGCTCAGGTGTTAGTATGCCTGTGTTTCAAGTGTGAGGCCCTCAGTTCAAACTCCAGTACTGGAAAAAAAAAAAAAGAGAAAAAGAAAATCAGGAGGGCGTTTATGTCATACTTTCCTTACTCTTGGAGGCTTCAGCAGGGGCTCACTGACTCCTGGGTCTCCTGCAACCCCCTTGGCAGTGTCCCTGCCCCACTCTACAACAGACATCACTTGTTGAGGGCTCAGGGGCTCCACCAGCCCTGAGAACAGACGGTGATGCCCGGGCTTAGATGCACACCTTGACACCCTCATTGTAGCTGTCTCCAGGGCTGCTGAGGCTGGCAAGGCTGCCTAGGTGACCGGGGGCTCCGGGGCGTGGTGGCTTCTTTGGTGGGGCTGCAGGATCTGGAAAAGTGGAATGATTCCCATGATGAACATTCATGAAAAGAAGTAAACTACTAGACCCCCCCCCCTCAACTATTCAATAGACTCTAGGCTTGTATTCTAAGGAGGAGTCTGGTATTTTATGGCAATACATTCTGCTTCCCAGTACTCTAGGCACTGCTAGATGTGGTACACACACACTGTTGTGGTCTGCAGAGGGAAGACTGTAAAAATCATCAGGGCATCCCAAAGCCATGACATCACACATTAAACCCTGCTCTTGCCCAATTATACAAGCATTGTGATGCACAACTCATTTCTTCACTGACCTGGTTTACCCACAGGCTGATAGATGTGTTGGTTTCCAGTCTGTGAGAAAAGAAAAGTTCAGTCAATGAGCCGTTGTGTGCAATGGATAATGACCTTTCTTCCTGCCTGACCATCCATCCACTGTAACTCGGCACGACACTGGGGTCCCAAGATAGACAGTCTTAGTAAGGTGGGGAGTAGGAAAGTAACAAACAATGACAAAGGGGGCATGGGAAAGGTTGTGCAGAAGCCAGCACAGGATTCTCTGGTAGCACAAATATCACTTACAATTTCTTCCAGGTTACCTTTACAGACCTAAAGTCCCAGGCCTTCCCAGAATGTCTCTGCTGCTCATTCTGCTGCACAATCCCTCCGACCACTCTGAGCAGTCAAAATAATGACAGTGAGAAGAGACCCGGGAAAAAGGGGACTTCTATATGTTCCATGGGCCCCTGCTGTCACCGTCCCTGAGGTTCTGTGCATGTCATGGTCTGGTGTGACACCTCTACCAGTTCTGGGTCAGGGCAGGAGCCAAGTCAGAGAAGTTGAAATATGACTCTGAATGTCTATCCCTGGGATAGAGAAAAGACAAAGCTACTAAGACCAGGCTTCCTCAGGTCGTTATGTCCGAAGCCGCATTCATTCACTTTTAGTATACGTGCTGAAGTGAGCGCTGTTCATTTTTGAGACAGGGTCTTACTATATAGCCCAGGCTGGACTCAAAACGTCTGATCCTCCTGCCTCCACCTCCTGAGTGGTAGGATTACACATGCGTGCCACAATACTCAGCTTCTGAAACTGCATTCAAAATAATCTATCTGGTGGAGGGTATAGCTCAGTGGTAGAGTGCTTGCTGCTTAGCATGCGTGAGGCTCTAGGCTGAATACCCACACTTTAGAAAAAAAAAATCTGAGTCTAACTCAATGGAAAAAGATCTTTTTAGAACCATGTTCTGCTACAGAGACTTTTGTTGCTTATTTTAATCATGAGCTGGTTTGTTTACATAACTTTTCTTTGCTGTACTGGGGTTTGAAGTCAGGGCCTACACCTTGTGCCACTTCGCCAGCCTTTTTTTTTTTTTTGAAGGGATTTTTTGAGATAGGGTCTTGAGAACTATTTGCCTGGGCTGGCTTCAAACCTCAATTCTCCTGATCTCTGCCTCCTGAGTAGCTAGGGTTATAGGCGTGACCCACCAGCGCCTGGCTGTAAACATAATTTAAGGTGCCTTATCTTCTCCTGGAAAGGTGGTTACTTCTTGAAAATACAGGGCTGTGAAATAGCAATGTAATAAAAACTGCTCTACACCCCAGGACCCATAGTTGCTTTCACCATTTCATTTACCACTGATTTTAATTAATTAATTTTCTTATTTATTTATGGTTTGTGTGGTTTTAAAGACAGGATCTTATGTAGTCCAGGATGGCCTGGAACACTTGGGCTTCAGTGATCCTCCCACCTTAGCCTCTCAAGTAACTGAGACTATAGGTGCATGTCTCTGCACCTGGCAAAACCTTTTTCTATTTAAACTCCTGTGGTGCTAGGGTTAAAACCAAGGGCCTCATGTGTGTGCAGCAACGCTCTACCACTGAGGTATACCTCCAACCCCTATGCTGATTTCAAACACTTGCAAACCCTCACACCTTGAGGTCGAAAGAGTGATTCCCTAACAACTTGCTTTTCTACAGTGCTTTCCACTTTACGTGCCATCTATCACACCACGCTTATCTATTACACAAGGATCATGGAGTCCCTGCTCTGTTCCTGGCACTATTCTTCATGCAAACAGAGCTTCTGCTGTTGTGGAGCTGCAGTGAAGTGGAGGGAAGTAGATAAAGATCACACATCACAGTATGTGATACAGTCCGCTAGAAGACGTGTCCGGTGAAGAGAGCAGCTGGCTGGGGGAAGAGAAGGTGAAGGTGAGGCCTTTGGAGAATGTGGAGCCCTGCAGTAATCTCAGAGTGGGAGAATACCTGGAGAGCAGCAGGAAGATGGCCTGTGTAGAAGGGAGGAGCCAGAGCAGGGAGGAGTGGGCAACATGGAGAGAATATTAACAATGGTGTTTGTTGGCTATGCTGTACTCAGCCAGCCAGCAGTAAAATCCACACATTCTGACAGGTTTAAAACATAGAGGTCTTCCAGGTTCCAAGTTCAAGAAACTAGAAAAACCTGCTCTCAGAACATTCTGCATTCACCTAACAAAAGTGCACATGTGCTAAACACACCACTAGCCACTGGTGTGGGTTCTGTCTCAAAGGCAGGCACAGGAAGGAAAGCCCCTGCTCCACACATCTGCTGGGCCACACGTCTGGAGTCCAGGTGCACTCCTGGCCCTGCTGAACATCTACTGTGGACCTTGGAAAGCTCACATGACTGCTGGGAGCCTTGATTTTCCCTTTGTCAACTGAGGAGGACATTTACCTAACAGTGGGTTGATGCTGCAAAACTGATGTGCTGTCAAGTTGCACGTAAAGTCCAAACAGAATTTTACTTCTCATGTATGCTAGTTAGTTATTTGCGTCTGTTAACTAGTTCACAACCATTTACTTTCTAAGCCTAAGGGTTCTCCCTAACACTGTCCAACATTTTCAGAAATGCTGAAGCTGAAGTGTTTTAAGACACAGGTCAAGCTGGAAGCTGCTGGCTCATGCCTGTAATCCTAGCTACTTGGGAGGCTGAGATTGGGAAGATCACAGTTTGAGGCCAGCCCAGCCAAGGAATTCACAAGATTCCATCTCCAAAATAACCACAGCAAAATGGACTGAAGTGTGGCTCAATCAATAGAGCACCTGCTTTGCAAGCACGAATGTCTGAGTTCAAACCCCGAGTTCAAACCCCAGTCCCAACAAACAAACAAAATCAACCAAACAAACGAAGGATCAAAACTAAATTGTTATCTTTAGAAAAGGCCCAAAGAGAAAAAACAAAACAAACAAACAAAAAAAACACCCCACAAAACCCAGATTATAGAAAGGATGTGAAGAAAGCCTGCAAGCCAGGCTAGTTGAATATGAGTGTGCTGTCTGGCACTTGGCACTGTACTAGAGCACCTGGGCCAAGTTTTCTTCCAGCCTAACACAAGAGAGACATGAGAACACACAGCACAGTATCCTGCATTATACAAAGCAAGTGCTCAGTCAGTATTATTACCTAGGTCTGGCATGCAGGAAACTGAGATCACAGGTGAGCCTGCCACATGCTCAGTCTGTCTTACAAGTTTTGTTAATAAAGTATTTTTTATTTATCTTCATACCCACTTGTTCTTCTACAGATTTTTTGAGTACCTTCTATATGCCACATACTGGAACACAAAGAATTTTTCCTTTTCTAACACATTTTCTATTGCAACGTCCTGACTGGTTGGTCTCTTGAAGAGGACTTATTTTTGCACTGATGCCCAGTTCTTCTTAACAAGTAAGGACAGCTTGTTATGCCTTAGTCTTTTCAACATAAGGAGCTCAGCTACGAAGATTTAAATAACTTTTTTGTAGTGCCGGAGCTCAAACCCAGGGCCTTATGTATGCTAGGTACGTGTTCTACTACTGAGTCACATTCCCAGCTCTCGGTGTTAAACAGCTATAACAGGACTTTGTTCATAAATGTCATGAACATTTGACCTATGTCATCTGCAGACCCACTGAGCCAGTGCAGGCTGATGAGAGATGGTAAACCTTCACAAGTGGCAACTGAGCACATCTTGTAGGTGCCAGGGAAGAGTTTTAGGGTTACTGGCAGAGTGGCTCAAGCATGAGGCCCTGAGTTCAAACCCCAGTGCCACCAAAAGAAAGTTTTTAGGGTACAGGTTAGGAAGAGTTCCTGGTAGGGTCATCCCGTAACATGTTCCTTGGAGCTGCCTGGAACATGGAATTTTGATTGAGGTTGGTGCTACAGTTCATCTGAAAAGGCTTATTGTGGAAATATCCAGAAAACAGTCAGCACACTGTTATTTCAAAATTGGGTGAGAAACTGTTTGAAAACGTTAGGGTAAGCATTGGCAGCTGTATACACGCACATGTGTAGGAGTCCAGTGGGCAGCTTCTTTCTACCCAGAAGTCTTATGAGAGGACTTGTCAGTTTGCTCCTGATAGTGTAGCAGGTGTTCATACAAGTCTTCATTAATTTAAGCAGACATCTGATGGTGTAAATCCTAACAAATACTTTAAGCCATTTCCCTCTAAACAGTAAGAAGTATTTCTAGGCAGCTAAACATACACTTGCAACAATTATAGGCTAGTTCTTTGAAGAGAATTTTGGGCATTTCTCTCCCAATATACTGAAGAAAAAAATCTTGCCTGAACAAATTTTATGTGACCATGGAAACCTTTAGCATCACACACTAAGAGTATAAAAAGTTACCAAACAACGATCTGTGTGCAACCAATTAATGTGCATACCTATTTATTTAGGTCACAGAGAGCCTGGCTTACTACAAAAAAAAAAAAAAAAAAAAAGACTCAGGAAACTTCTCTATCTGTGTAAGAATTCTGCATATGGCCTATTTGAATAAGTATAGCTAGAATGTTCTAGAATGTTCACTATATTTATAGAATGGATTGTTCTACTGCACATCACAAGTTGTATGCTTGGGTATCTTAGAACACAACACTGCTGGCCCTTGCACAGCAGAGTCTGAAAATGAGCCCAGGGGACAGCTTGGGCAGGTACTCACCGGGCCCTGAAGACTCCCATCCTCCCTGTCAATGCTGCCTCGAGAGAGCCTCACATCAGGTTTCTAGAAAAATTGAAACACAATCAAAACATTCATGTTCATTTGACAGTTCCTGACAGTTTATAACATTAAACTCCTCTGTGTGCAGTACATGTGTCCTCTGCTGTGGCCTGCCTCCAGCAGCACCTGCGTCCTGTCTCTGCACTTGGCCATCTCAGAATGAAGCACCGGGTCGTTACAGTGCATCTGTGCTCCACAGTCCTAAATGCCTGACAGGTGTCCACTGACAAAGCCCAAGTTTCTTTTTTGTTTGTTTGTTTGTTTGGTGCTGGGGATGGAACCCAGGTCCTTGCTCATGCCAAGAAAGTGCTCCATAATTGAGTCACTACATTGATCTTTAGGTGTATCTTGGCTTTTTCTATTTTACTTTAAAAATTATCTATCCATCCATCCATGCATCCATGTATGTACTGGGGTTTGAGGTTTGAACCCAAGGCCTTGTGTTTGCTAGACAAGTGCTCTATTCCATCCCTTTTTGCTTTAATTTTCAAATAAGGTCTTGCGCTATTTTCTGGTTTTGCCCGGACAGCAACGCTCTTATCTTTGCTTCCCACAGAGCTGATATTACAGAAATGCACTGCCATGCACAGCACCCTCACTTTTTGAGATGAGGTCTCACTATGCTACCCAGGCTGGCCTTGTACTCCTGAAGCCCAGAAATGTTGTTGTGGCACAAAGCCTTGCAACTCCTTCCCTACTGAAGTCAGACTGATTCTTTGGCAGCTTGTGAGGAAACGCCTTTCTAGTACAGGGTCCACACTGTCCTTTGCCCACTTCCTTGCTCTTCTGGGTGGGGATGCGGCAGACCCTAAAGGGACATGGAGGTCTAGGAACACGGAGTGCAAGGAGATGGTATTCCTGATGACTCATCGGGAAGAGCCTGTGGCTGGGGACAGTTGTGAGTGTCCTCAGGGCTGTCCCCTGGGCAGGGTTGAAACTTGTGCTGCTCATTTTAGCTCCCCTGTGGAAACTGTTCTAATAACCAGAGGCTCCTAAGCCCTGGCAGCAGTGGCAGGATGTGAGCAAAGAAGGTGCGAGTACATCGTACTTGTCTCCTGTCCACTAAACAGAACTTGTAACATAACTGCTGTATCTCTGGTGCACCCACCATTCCCAGTCAGCACAGACGCACACTCCATATACTACTGACTGAGGGAACTTCTGAGCTACTTTGTAAAAGACATTCCCTTTCATGGAAAAATATTAACCTAAAAACCCAGCTAAATATAGATGGGAAACAACCTAAATCCTCCACTCATATTAAGAAAGGAAACCAGAAGAATTCTGGACACTGTGAAGAGTAACTCTGATGAAGTTCTGGAGGCATAGCGCTGTTCTTTGCGCAAACGCTGTAGTATTGGGAACTGACAGTGTCGAAAACAAGTCCCTCCAGCAGATGGCAGGGACACACAAACCTAGTATCAGGAGGTGAGGCCAACCCAGAGGTTTGCAGTCAGCACACTGGCAGAACAGTGTGCTGTCTTATCAGGAAGGACTATCTCAGAAGACCCGCACAGCTGTGCAGAGTGGGAGACACGTTCAAGAAATATTCATGGGCAGGTGTCCCCACTAGACTCTTCTCTAGCGGGAGCACAGACATGAAGAGACAGACAGCAAGGACACCAGGCAAACACCCGCCAGTCACTGATCCCAGCTGAAGGAGGGACAATCCCTAGAGTAGTGCTACACACAGTCTGAATGAGGAGGCAGCTTTGTGTAGGCAGTGATCCTCAACTCTGGACACAGTGAGGAAAAGACTCCACTACATAAGAGACTGTGAGAAAGTGTGCTGGAGAGGTTGTAGATTATTACTTAATGTGAACATCAAGGTCAGGAAAAACCTCAGGAAGAGGCTGGGACTGTTCAGGGTCAGGCAGACTGAGGGCACTGGACACCTGCCCAAGATTCATGATCTAGGCTCTCTTCTGTCCTACTGTTAACTGCCTCCTTTGGGCACCTGGACTATGCTAGGCAGGAAGACAGCCTGACTTTTAGAACGATATATTAAAGTTTCTAGGAGTAAAGAGCATTATACCTGCTATTTACTTTTAGATGGTTCAGAAAAAAACACAAAAGGATGTTAAATAAAAAGCAATTATGGTCAAGTGTTAATATCAGGAAGTCTGGTGAATTCTCTGCATTATTTTTGTGACCATTTTTCTGCATCTGAAACTATACCTTTCTTCCTCTGCCCTTCGAGTGTGAGATCAGTAGGAAGCCGGTCTGCTCAGAAGCCATGCTGAAGGGCTTTGGAAGAGGCAGGATGTCTTGGCTGTTTTCTGTTGCTGAGACTGACTGCCTTATGAAGAAGGGTTTAGTTTGGCTCATGGTACTGAAAGCTGGGAAGTCGAAGAGCACGGTACCAGTATCTGTTTGTTTCTGGTGTCACTCCAAGTTGCTGTGGAAAGCAGGATGGCAAGTGGGTGCTTGCCTAAGAGAAAAGGGACTTACTCCCTCAGCAGCATTAAGCCCATGGTGAGGGTGCCACCCTATATCCTGCAGCCCTCTTGCTAGGTCCACCTCCCAACACTGGCAGCAAGGAATTAACCATTTGAACACATAAACTATGGGAGATACACTCAAACCATAGCCTCAGAGGAGACAGGTTTGACACAAGTGTAACAATAATCTTAGAAAACAAAACACCCAGCAGGACAAATGTAGGATGTGGTCACTGCACATTTGGAGAATGTTTTAAAAGTCTGCTATTATTTAATAATCTATATGTAAATTAAGGTCTGGAATGTTAGAGTGACTGCCTTGCATGCCCAAGGCCTTGGGCTCAATTCCCAGCACCATTAAAAAAAAAAAAAAAAGAAAGAAAGAAAAATTAAGACACTGAGAAGAACTGAACAGAGTAAGTCCACCAATGTCACCACCTGTAAGCTGCCATCATTGGTTACCACTCTGATGCCAACATATGCCTACAAAAGTGTAGCCATGCTGTGTAGTCCTTTGCTTCACATAAAATCTACACGGGAAACAATGCGAAGCGTTGAGACTGCACAATACCCTGCTGGACAATGTCGCCAGGAGGTGGAGACAGCAGTGAAGGGCATGCGCTCAGGCACAGGGCAGCCTGGGCTCAGATCAGGCTTCAACCCGATCTGAATTCAACTCTGTGACCAGAGTTTGCACAGCAGCAACTGTGACACACACAGGATGGTTAGGCTTAAGTGAATGAGCTAATATTGAAAAATCACTAGGTTAGTGTGAGTGCTAGCTGTTTTCCTAATGCTAGACATTTGGGTTATTTGAAAAAAATTCATTTGTATAAACAGGCTGTGGACACTTTTGCATCTTAGATTAAGTCCCTGGTTACTTCCCTGGGAAAGATTTCTAAAAAACGAATTATGGAATCAAAGGGTTTAACATTTTGGAATTTGCTCTCCTCCCTTTTCCTAATCAGGTGGCCATTTCTATCTTACGCTGAGTCCCAGGAGGACAGGCCATGGGGCCCCTTGCTTTCCTACTGCAGCTCTGTGACCTGAGAGGACGCTGGACCGCAGGTAGGATGAACAAGAGCCTTCAATTGGCAGTGCAAGCCCCTTTGGAAAAGGACGTATCCTATACAGACCCATTCCTCACCTGTGAAACATGCAGAGTAACACCTGAATAACACAAGAACTAAAGAAGTGCTTTAGTAGTCTTGTGCAAACAGTGAATGCTTAATAAATACGTTTTGAAGGAATGCTTCACCAATAATGCAGAAAAGATACTTTACAGGTAAGGAATTTGAAGCTGAAAGAGACAGAACTAGCTGCTTGGGCAACACAGCTATAAAAAAGAAAAAGAAAAAGAAAACAGGAAGTGAGCCAGTGCAAGTGGCTCATACCTGTAATCCTAGCTACTCAGGAGGCAAAGATTAGGAGGATTGTGGTTCGAAGTCTGCCCAGGCAGACAGTTTGTGAGACCCTATCTCAAAAAATACCCAACACCAAAAAAGGCTGTGGAATGGCTCAAGTGGTAGAGTGTCTGCCTGGCAAGAGTGAAGGCCTGAAATCAAATCCCAATCACCCACATCCACTGCCCAAAAAAGGGGCTGACTTCAACCAGTTACCCAAAAGATACTTTATTGAGGCATGGCCCGAATGGCAGCACACCTGCCTAGCAAGAATGAAGCCTTTTGTTCAACTCCAATACCAACAGGAAGAAAAAAAATTTTTTTGCTCACTTTTTTTGGTGGTTCTGAGTTTGAACTCAGGGACTTGTGCTTGCCAGGCAAGTATACTCTATCACTTGAGCCATACCTCCAGTTCTTTTTGCTTTAGATAGTTTTTGAATAGGGTATTGCATTTGTGTCCAGTCTGGCCTGGACCCTGATCCTATTTACGCTTTCCACTTAGCTTGGGTGACAAGTACAAGCCACCATACTCTGCTTCTTTATTGGTTGAGATGAGGGTTTCATGAACATTTTTTTGTGGGGTGGCCTTAAACCATGATCCTCCTGATCTCTGCCTCCAATGAGCTGCTATGTCCAGCTTATTTATTTTTTTTTACTTAAAAACCAACTCATACTTATTGTTTGCTTATAGAATAAGGCACTGTGTTAGTGTATTTACATGAATTATCTATTTTTCTTTCTATATAACTCACAGAAAATTACTTATTTTGTACATAATTCCCTAGTGTTGTTTTCCTAAAGACTAAGATTTTAATTTTAAAATGAAAGCGGTCTATTTAAAGACCTCTTGTGCTTCATGAAAATGATTCAAATACATATTTAAGCTCTTTCCTTACATAGAGCCTGTCCGAATGCCAAGACAACACCATGTGTGGGAGTTAAGAACCCTCTAAGCAAAGATGGCCATTCACAGAGCAGACTCCGGCTTGTTCTTGCTCCTGGTTAAATCTTCCCTTGTCCCCCTCACAGATCCTTCTGGATGGAGAGGATGATCAAATGAGATAATTTACATTTAAAATCTCACACAAATGGATCACACACACAAGAATGTTTGGGGTGACTTGATTATCTTCCCCACTGAATATGCATTTTTTAAAAA